AAATTGGATGTGCCGGGATACTGTGCTGCGTCAACGAACGCCCCAAGTTCAGGGGTGGCAGCGGCGGAACTGAGGAGTGACCTAGCCCTAGCGGCCCGGCGGCCGTCATTGTAGAGAGGGTGAACATTTCTAGGAATTTGTGAGACCGTAATCTGCTCCCTCAATTTGGGTGGAAGCTGTATCTTTTTGTCTGCTACCATAGTTGGTTCGCAGCCCAGAAACTCCAGGATGCGTCTCCCAGCTTTGGAAGAGGACAGTCGTGCAGCTTGTGCTGTTTGTTGCGCTTCTGCAATCTCACTAAATGTATTATGCATACCAAGAGCCTTGAGCTTTTCCTCATTTGTGTTGTTTGGAAGACCCAAGACCCTCTTAATGCACTTTCGAATAATCGCATCCAGTTTCCTTTGTTCTTTCCTTTCCCACCTATGCGCTGCGGCAATGTAGTTAATGTGACTCATAAGAAAGGCATGGAAAAGCCTCATGAGGTTGGCCTCACAAAGCCCTCCACGCCTGTTAGACACACGAAGTATAAGCTTGACCATGCTCTCCGCCTTTGCCGCAATACGAGTCAGAGTATGAGAGTTACTTCCGTGCTCCTCCAGGAACATGCCTAATATCCGAATTTTATCAACACGGGGGATGGCCTGCCCTGACCGTGTGTGAATTTCGATCCTGATCTCTTCCGGCGGAAATGGAATAGTGGTGAACTTGCGTTTCTCCGGCTGTGTGTACAGGAGGAGCTCCGACTTGGCGGTCGACAAGTGCAGCCCCGTGCTATCCAAAAACTCCTCCGTGCACCTGAGGGCCTGCTGGAGGGACTCCTCAACGTCTCCGTCCCTACCCCCAGTGCACCATATAGTAATATCGTCCGCATACAGCGCATGTCCGATGCGGTCGATACGAGAGAGTTCGAGCGAGAGTTTCCTCATCGCGATATTAAAGATTAGCGGTGAAATGACCGATCCTTGAGGGGTTCCCCTAGGTCCAAGGTGAAATTCCTTGGAGCAGAGGTCCCCGAGCCGAATTGTGGCAACGCGATCCCTGAGAAAAGAGCGGACGAACCCGTAAAAGCGGGCCCCCAATCCCAACTAAGAGATCGAATCCAGTATGTGAGGATGTGAGATATTATCGAAAGCTTTCTCCAGATCGAGTGCAAGAATCCCTCGGACATCTCTGGTGTCTATGTCGAGAATTTGATGTTTAATCATTTCATAACGTCCTGCGTAGAGAGCGTGGGACGAAAGCCAATGAGATTGAAAGGGAAGAGCTCGTTTGTTCAATGTGATGGGAGATTCGGTTAAGGATTGCATGCTCCGCGACCTTACCCACGCAAGACGTGAGCGAGATCGGTCGGAGCGTGCCGAGCCCGAGAGGTTTACCAGGCTTGGGAATGAGGACGACAGAGGCCGTTCGCCACTCCTTCGGCACCTGCCCCGACTCCCAAACCCGGTTGACCTCGTCAGTTAGTAGCTCAATGGATCTATCGTCCAGATTTTTAAGTAGCCTGTTAGTGATACCATCCGGCCGGGAGCCGATTTTCCATTGAGATCAAAAGGACCGCCCTGATCTCTGCCGTGTTGAAGGGGGAGTCCAGCTCCGCATCCTCCAGACCAGAGAAATCCGGGTAGTCTGCATCCGTGGTAGCCCCCAGGGGGAGGTACCTATCCGCCAGCTGTTGTAAGATTTGATCATTGGAGAGCCCAGCAGACCTCTCCTTGTGAATGAGCCGATCAACAGTGTGTTTCTGATTAGCTTTAGTTTGCTTATCTCCCAGGAGGTGCTTGAGAATGTTCCATTTCGCCCCTGACCGCATCTGCCCATCGACATCGTTACAGACCTCATCCCATTGTTGTCTGGCCAGGGTTTGGCTGTACGATTAAATCTCCTGTTTGAGCAGAGCAATTTTCTTTCTGAGCCGCCTGTTGAGTCGCTGCGTACGCCATCTGTTAAGTAAGGAGTTTTTGGCTTCAAGGAGCCTCGCTAGGCGGCTGTCCATGCGTTCCGTTTTAAGATCCGTCTCCACCACCTTAGTGGCAGCTTTAACATCTGCCTTAAGACGCTCAAGTAGCTGGCCAAGGTCATCGTACTCTTTTTCATCGTTTTGTCTGAGTTCCCGAAAGGCATCCCAATCAACAATTTTGAAGACCCGCGGCGGCGATGCTTTAACATCGAGGGAGATAGACGCGATGAAATGGTCGCTCCCCAAGTTCTCATGCAAGTTCTGCCAGAAAGGGCACTCGACGTTCCTGACAAAAGCCAGGTCCGGCGTGGTGTCCCTTGCTACAGAGTTGCCGAGACGTGTGGGAAAGTTGTGATCAGTAACTAGTAACATATTAAGATTGGTAGTATGCTGCAGAAGCGCCCGCCCCTTAGCCGTATTATTGATATAGCCCCATGTCTGATGTTGCGCATTGAAGTCGCCAGCAACTGTCAACGGAGCCGAGCCCGCGATTTTGGAGGCTTTGCAGAGAAGCGCATTAAAAGTCTCCCGAGTATCAGATGGTGAGCTATAAACGTTGAGAATGAATAGGTGCTCCTTAAGCCGAGAGTTTGGGATTAACTCAATGAGTATGTGTTCCACCTTTAGGTCTGGACGTACATCGCGAACCTCAAAGGAGAACTCTTTGGATATGAGGATGGCGACCCCGCGTTTTCCTTCCCCCCAGCAGGCCACGGAGCGATAACCCCGGAGGGCCACCTCTCCTTAAGGGTCTCCTGGAGGAGTATTACGGCTGGCTTATTCTCCTGTGAGCTGACGAACTGCTGCAAGACTGCCTTCTTCCTGTGGAAGCTCGCGCAATTCCATTGCCAAATGACAAATGTTTTATTTAGCTTCGCCATGATTGCTACTTAGGTTTTGCTCCACCACCACCACCCTTGCAGAAAGGGACTGGATGACAGAGCTGACACCAGCGATGGCCTCCTTAATTTCATGGACCACCCCCATAATTTCCTGTTTAAAGTCACTGAACTCCTTCTCGATATCTACCGGAGGGTCAGCGGCTTTTCGCTTACCGCCTCTAGGTTGTGTCTCGGCCTGCTGCACTTTCACCGCCCCTTCCGGCGTGCGTTCGCGCTGCCTAAGCTCCTCAACTAATGCTTTAATCTCCTGAAGCTCACTCCTCAGAGTTGCATTCTCACGCTCTAGCTGCTGTATTCTAGCCGTAGCTTGCTCTGGCAACTGGCGCTGCACGATAGTGCGAGACTCACGTTTTGGGCCCACTCGTTCAGCCCAGGTAGGTTCCTGCTGTATCCGGGCACAGGAGGCAGACCTATCCCTCGAGCGAGAGCGGTGACCCGCACCCCGCCCAGGGTTATCAAGGCCACCCCCCTGGTTGAACCCAAGCCCGGGAGCTTGCTGTGGCACGAACTCCACGCGCTGCTTGTTTGCTTTCCTCCGTCGTCGCCTTCTACGCCGAACGATGTAGGGAACCTGGTACCTGCTTTTGCAGGCCCGATCCGCCGTCGGATGCGCTCCTCCACAGATGGAGCACTTCGGCTGGCACGTATGATTCTCAGGGGGCGATGAGACCCCACAGTCCGGGCAGGTGATGACTGTAGGAGTGGGACAAACGTCCAAGCGATGTCCCAGCTTTCCGCAGGTTCGACGGGCGTCGATTTGTCGTCGGTAGAGCGTGCACCGGATCAGGTTCGTCCCACACATGACGTAGTTTGGAACTTTCATACCGTCAAACAGGACGATCACCGTGGGCGTTTTCTTGATGCGCCGTACTCCAAGAACCTTCGGATTTCTTGCGTGCACGAAGAGCTCACCTAGCCGGTCATCAGAGAGCTCAGGGTCGATACCGCGAACAACTCCTCTGCACGTATCCCCGGGTGGCGTCACGTAATTAGAGACTTCATGGAGCGTTTCTCCCACTCGAATTTGCTTCACTTTAGCGTAGGCTTCTGCGTTCCTAGCGTGTGGCGTGCTGATCACAAAAATGTTCTGCATTTCATTGGCACAAACAATATCTTCCTCAGCCTGCGGCGGGCCGAGACAAGCAGCCATCACCAAAGCTTGGGTAACCTTGATTCCACTGACCTTGCGCACATCCATGCCTCCCTTGGGACGTACGACAACCCGGTAGTGATCTTTAGGCAATCGCGGCAGGTGCGACGCGGCGATGAGCTTGTTTATCGGCCCCTTAGGGTGCGCTGGACGGGCGGCACGATGACCGGCACTGGGGCCAGGGCTGTCGCCGGGCGTAAAATCCTGACGCTGCTTCTTCCGAGAGTGGGCAACAATCCATCCGGAGGCTTCATCCTCCTGCCTGGAGATTTCTTCGCCGAAGACCATCTCCTCGAGCGGCATCCTCGAAGCGTCTCGCTTGGCAGGCCGAGCTGAGCGCCAACGTGGCACAGGGTGAAACACCCAAATAAAAGTTCGAAAGCTTGACCTACCCGCAAAAGTCGGGTATCCACTCGATCCTTGAAAGAAACTGGATCAGATGAGTCGAAAAACCGAGGTCGATCGGCAAATTTTCGGTCAAAAACATTGAAAAAAGCAGGAGCCGATGCGAGCGCGTCCGGCTCGCGTCTAGCAAGCGGCGTTCCTCTGAAGGATAGATAGAGCACGTCAATTAAGTCTGAATAGGATTTTCTCATGTCTCCTCCACTTCGCCTCATTCTTGACTTGTTGCGTCAGTGAAAGTATTTGCTTATGTGGGGAAGAACTTCTGGGAAGAATCAAGCAATTTTATGTTCTCCGGAAGGCTTCAATTTACTGTGAGGGCAAGAGGTTGTGTTGTGGTGGGAGAAAGCCACTGCTCTGCCAAATGAGTAGTGCACAATGCTGCAGCACAGGAACCACGTAATTCTGGCACCCCATCTCCAAATTCGTAGTTGTATTTTATAGCTATAAATTTCTACATATCACAAGCACACAAGTACATTTTTTAAAGCAAGCATAAAGTGACGCTGAATCATTGCTCTTTTTTGTAATAAATTTGAATCCACGTCATTGCTACGCACAAGCACGTAATTGGCTCTCCATGCAGGCGACGTGATCTACTACGATCACAACGGCCGCCTCCATTACTTGGATCGCCTGAAGGAGATGATCAAGTGCATGGACAACCAAGTAGTACCTGCCGAACTGGAAGACTTGATCATGAGCAAGTGCCCTGCCATAGCCGAAGTGTGCGTCCTCGGACTTCCGCATCCAGAGTATGGAGAGGCGGCGGCTGCTTTCGTCATTCCTCATGAACGTCACAAGGGCGAGGTGACCGAGGACGACATCAAAAAGGTCGTTGCTGGTCAGTTGAAAAATTATTGACAGCTGACACAATGAGTTTCACATTTACTTCCACTCACTTTATGCTTGAAAAGCGCCATCAAAATTCTAGTTTGCGACCCAGAAGTTTCATAATTTCAGGTACGCACGCAATAGCTATAGTAATCATGACGATCAGTTGTTTATTTCGTGTCTACACGTACCAAGATTGTTTATTTCGTGTCTACAGATACTAAGTTGGGTTTGTTTTGAAATTTTCTTCATAGTAAAGCGTTTCGAAAGCGAAACGGAATTGTCAGCTTTTGTATGATTTTGTGATCATGACTGCTGCTAGTGCTGCTCCTTGACAAAGTAGGCAACTGGCTGAAACTAGATGATAGGAGGACCAAGAATGCCAAATGCACATAGGCGTCAGGCTGCTCTGCGCATTGACCATGGGAATGTTCATTGCAACCAATGCAGTGTATAACGTCATTACACACTCCCTGATTATGATGATGGCGACATATGACTGTACTCTTTGTGTCGGGCGGTCACGTGACTTCGACCTTGTGGAGAAAAAAATACTTAAGCATTGCACTAGCGGCACCAAGTCTGAAGGAATAGCGGAACTGGGTGCCTTTTGTTGTTCCGCTCTACTTTGCTCTTTCTATTTTTCATTTTACTCTATTTTTAGGAAAGTAGCTCTTTAAGGCCCAGGCTCGTGCGGCGTAGTAGTTGTAGTAGCCATCATTGTGGCGATGGCGCTGTGGCGCTCCCACAACTAGTACTTGGCTCGCTCACTAGATGATGCTGTGGCGCTAGCTCCGATGCATGCTCTAGTGTAACATGTGACCGTGAGAGACTTCTCTCTTTCAACAGAAGCCTACGAGCTTCTCGTATGAGCGAGAAAGACGGTGGAGTGGAGGGCTTGGAAAGCGACTGCAGCGCGTACTCACAGTCAAGATCCGGAAGTGAGAGCCCACGAAGTGGTGATGAAACGGGCACAAACTGTTACTCACATGTTTACATGACGATTGCCTGGGCAAGATTTATGGAGGCCTCATGGTTTACCTGTGTACCTCCCAACCTGCGCCCACTCAACATCATTTGCTCCGTGCATACGTTGTGATTTTCTTCTGTCTCTTTTCTATCCACGTTTCTTTGATTTCTTTCTTTATGTCACCACCAATTTTTTTCCTTCTCATATTTCTAATACCCTATGTCTTTCTCGCTCTTACTTTTTTCATCTTCTTTCTCTCTCACTCTGTTTTTCTTTCTAAATATTTTGCCCTTTCTGTCGTGCTCTCAGTTTTTCTTTTCAGTGCACGTTAAAGAACAACAAATGGTGGAAATTTTCGGCACGCTCTGCTGCGTCGTCCCTCATAATCATATCGTCATTTAGGAGTTCAATGCTAATCTCATACTTCTATCTATTCTTTGTTGGTTTCGTTTTATTTCTCCCTAAGTCTCTCTGTGTCTTTCTATATCCTGATGTGTTTTGCCCATTTAAACCTGTTTTTATCACCCTCTCTATGTACTCGTTCTCTTGCACATGCGATTTCTCGTATTCCAAGCCGGAAAAATTGACCTACTTATTCAGTGAGGCAGGTAGAAGACGCAGAAGTGGAGAAAGAGAACGCGTGCCGGCTGAGTTATTCTGCGCATGATTGTTTTTTCGCATGACTGGCGTAGTCTCTCCACGCTAAAATACTTTCCTTTTGGCTTATTTGTGGGGTTTCCCAGTTTATAACAGAAATACCTGACCGAGTTTCTTTTTTTTGCTTAGGCAGACAAAACGATTGGCTAAACAGCTGATTATGAGGGAGAACACAGAGGGGGCAAAGGGCCGCTGTTAACAGCGGACTAGTATCCGTGCCACGCGGGGATGAGCGTTCGTAACTGATATTGTACAGTTGCTCACATATAATAACATACACAATGACACGTACGAAGAAAGCCGCTACCACTTTCTGTTAAGCGCAACGCAGGCCGCGTTTATCTTGTATGCCACTCTGGAACGCGTTATAGTGACACGTACGAAGAAAGCCGCTACCACTTTCTGGTAAGCGCAACGCAGGCCGCGTTTATCTTGTATGCCACTCTGGAACGCGTTATGACGCGTGTATAAAAGACTGACATGTGCGGTTCTTTTGGTTTACGAAGGAAGCCGCTATCACTTTCTGTTAAGCGCAACGCAGGCCGCGTTTATCTTGTATGCCACTCTGGAACGCGTTACGACGCGTGTATAAAAGCCGGCGCAGTGCGCCACTGGTCAGTCTTTTTCCGTCGGCCGACGACTGTTCACGCCGCTGCTGCTGTGAGTTGTGTTTGGCCTTGTTTTGCTGGGCACAAGTTCGCCCAATAAACAGTTCGCCTGACACCGCCCTGACTCCTGCGTGCTTCCTCTCAAGTGTGGCGTGTATCACAACATCGTGACATCTGGTGGAGGTGCTTCTCGGTCCATGTACCGTACGCCCCCATCCAGCCGTGAGCCAAGCCCAAGCCGCCAAGAGGACGACGCCGACCCGGTCGTTCGAGTGAGCCGAAAACAACAAGGACTACCGCCCGAATACCTGCCGCTCCTCGACAAGGGCAAGAAAACAAAGGCTGCTACGAAGCCGGCATCCACGATGACGGAAGCAAGGTCTTCGGCAACCGTGGTCGTCAACCAGCCCAAAGAGCCGCCTACCTTCCGCGGATCGACCTACGAAGACCCGGAAAGCTGGCTTGACATTTACGACCGCGTCGCAGCCCTCAATAAGTGGTACCCGGACGACAAGCTGCGTCATGTGTATTTTTACCTGGAAGACGCCGCAAGGACTTGGTTCGAGAACCGCGAGTCAACGCTTTGAACCTGGGACGACTTCCGCGTTGCTTTCCTGCGCACCTTTGCAAGCGTCGTGCGGAAGGAAATAGCCGCATCACTGCTTGAAACTCGGGTGCAGCTCCCCAACGAAAACGTAAGATCTTCACGGAGGAGATGACGCGTCTTTTCCGCCACGCCGACGCCGACATGTCTGAGGACAAGAAGGTTCGCCTGCTTATGCGAGGAGTGAAGCAGGAGCTCATCGCCGGACTGATCAGAAACCCGCCAAAGACGGTACAAGAGTTCCTCTCCGAGGCTACCACCATCGAGAAGACTCTTGAAATGCGGACCCGCCAATACGATCGGCGCATGTCGCCAGACGTCGCAGAAGTCCGAGGACTCTGCCCCGACGACCTGCGCGAGACCATACGCGCTATTGTTCGTGAAGAACTGCGCCGCATGTTGCCATCGTCTCAGCCCCAAGTCGCCTCTCTCGAAGACGTAGTCCACGAGGAACTACAGCGCTCACTGAGCGTTCCTGAACGGCCACAGCCCCAACCGGAGGCGATTACCTACGCCGCTACTGCACGACGACCTGTCGCCGCTCCTCGCCAACACCAGGACCCAACGTCTCCGCAGTTTCGTCGCCAGCCACCGCCGCCACCCCCGACGCCTTCCCGCTCGCCAGTAATCCAGCGCTCGCCGAGGAAAACTGACGTTTGGCGCACCCCTAACCACCGCCCACTATGCTACCACTGCGGCGAAGCCGGGCACATCTACCGCTACTGCCAGTACCATGAGATGGGACTGCGGGGCTTCGACGTGAACGCGCCGCGTCCGCGACCAGGTGAGCGACCTCGCGACATCGCCGACTACATCGCCGGATCGCAGTGGCAACAACGACGACCATCCCGTTCACCTTCGCCTGGCTGCTACGTCTCCCCGGATCGCCGCCAGTACACCGGCCCTAACCGGGGCCGATCCCCAAGCCCCTACCCGGGAAACTAAAGGCAGCTACCGATGGAGGTGCGGTTGCTGCACGACGCAATGCCGAAGATCTGCCGCCGCCGCCGCTGCCATAGACGACGACCACGACGCACGAACTTTCCCGACGTAGTCGCAGTACGCCACCTGAGCAGAGTCTTTACGACAAAGCCTCGCCGCCGACGCGACATAGCAGCACCGGACCAAGCCGACGCAGCCGTGATCCGACGCCCCGACATAACCGGAACGCCAGACGACGAACCACTGACCTCGACGTGATCATCGACGGCCACAGCGTCACCACCCTAGTCGATACCGGCGCCGACTACTCTATCATCAGTGATCTCTTCGCCGCTAAGCTCAAGAAGGTAAAGACTGCATGGGAAGGACCGGATATCCGAACAGCAGGGGGCCACCTTATAACACCGACTGGAACCTGCACGGCAAGAGTCACGATTCACAGCCAGACGTATTCTGTAAATTTTGTGGTCCTGCAGCAATGCTCGCGAGACGTCATTTTAGGCATGGATTTCCTGGACCAGCAAGGCGCAGTCATCGACCTAAGATCCAGGTCAATCACGCTGTCCACGGATAATGCAACGGCGTCAGACTGCAACGTCGCTCACAATGCCTTGAATGTGACAGAAGAGCAGGTAACCATCCCGCCACTGTCGAGCGTCATCATTTCCGTCGGCACCAAAGCGTCTACCAACTTACAAGGTGACATCGAAGGCGACCAGCACCTGCTCCTAGACCGTCAGATGTGCGTCGCAAGAGGCATAGCCAAGCTTCATAACGGCGAAGTCCAAGGTAATGGTGACGAACTTCAGCAACGAATATAGGCACTTGAATAGGGGCACGACGGTAGCACATCTAAGCGAATTTGTGGAAGCGAGCAACTGCCTTCGCCCTCACCGATTCTCAGGGAGCCGCAACGTCGACAGCAGTGTCCGCGCTCGCCTTCGACGTCAATCAAAGCCTTTCCAGGCAGCAACAAAAGGAGCTCAAAGCCTTACTCCACCAATACAAGGACTGCTTCTCGTCGTCATCGAGGCTTCGTCAGACCCCTCTCGCGAAACATCGCATCATAACCGACAAATATGCCCGTCCGCTCCGTCAGAGCCCCTACCGAGTTTCTGCACGGGAACGCAAGGCCATCAAGCAACAAGTCGATGAAATGCTGCGTGACGACATCATTCAGCCGTCTACGAGTCCGTGGGCATCACCCGTGGTGTTGGTGAAGAAGAAGGACGGAACCCTACGTTTTTGCGTCGATTATCGTCGCCTGAACAAGATCACGAAGAAAGACGTGTATCCCCTCCCACCGATAGACGATGCTCTGGACAGACTCTACAACGCCAAGTAGTTTTCGTCGATGGATCTCAAAACCGGCTACTGGCAAATCGAAGTAGACGAGAGAGACCGAGAGAAGACTGCCTTCATAACACCAGACGGCCTATTCGAGTTTAAGGTCATGCCCTTTGGTCTTTGCTCGGCGCCTGCGACGTTCCAACGGGTTATGGACACAGTACTCGCAGGCTTGAAGTGGCAGACTTGCCTCGTCTACTTGGACGACGTAGTCGTATTTTCTTCCAACTTCGACGAGCACCTCCGGCGCCTTGAAGCTGTTCTTCGGGTAATCAAAGCCTCGGGACATACCCTGAAGCCAGAAAAGTGCCGCTTCGCCTACTAGGAACTATTGTTCCTTGGCCACGCTATCAGCAAGTCGGGAGTGCTCCCTGATCCACAGAAAACAGCTGCGATCGCCGACTCTCCTGCACCCACCGACAAGAAAGCAAAACGCCGATTTCTTGGCCTCTGCGCTTATTACAGACGCTTCGTGAAGAACTTTTCGCGGATCGCCGAGCCACTGACGTACCTCACGAAGGCCGACGTCGACTTCAAATGGGAAACGCCGCAAGTCGAGGCATTTCAAGAATT